ATATTCCAAATTTTTTTTGTTATAAAAATACCGAATAGCGTATCACTGTTAAGCACAAATGCTAAGTAACTTTTACAAATATAATCAAATAAACCTATTACTTGCTTTATTTTTAAATCCTTTTCATCAATTAAATACTTATCTTATCCTAACTATCAATACTAATATTATAAAGAGGCAAGATTTGTATGTTTGTAACAAATAATCTGTCAAACTACTGAACCGGTTTCAAATATTAATTCATCATAAGGTAGCTACATTATTTATAATAACATTTTTCTTTATTTAAATACATTTTGTCCGAGTGACATAGGCTATATTTTATCCCGATAAATAAATTTCGCCCGTACAATGCCCGGGTGGATCACTAGTAAGTATAATATAATATTATAGATGCGAAAGTGAGTTTGTTTGTTGCGCTTCCGTGCCCTTATAGCTAAATCGAATATAATGACTTCCCATATAGAAGTAGATGGGAACTTGGTTCTTAGCTACAACATCGCAATACTTAGGCGTAGGGTGATGAAAGGGGTGATTTACCTATAAAAATCTACATTATTTACTTAGAATTTTGCAGAATTATTACAAAACCAATATTATCGCGAGCTGATTAATAAATACAGGGATTCCAATAAGTATGTACTTACTAGCGAAAAATGGGTTATTTGTAATATTAGTAATATTAAGTAAACCTTTTTTGTAACATTAAGTAAAATCGTTAAAAAATGAAAAACAGTAAAATTCTGAGTTTTTCATTAAAATTCAATAATCATAAATACCTATTATGATAATATATTTTTCATCATTTAATAAGAAGGAACTGTATCACAGTTTTATTGTTAGTACTTCGTATAGGATCAGATACTGCGAATACCCCATTTTTTTTTACATAGTACACCGCGCTATCACTTTTGTCATCGTTGTAACTTTTTAAATATTTGTCGAAATGACATAGTGTAAAAAGCAAAGTTTATCGTCTTTAAATATCAAAAGCGATAAAAGTATTTGTTTTGATAAAAAATGATATGTTAATACAAAATGTGCATTTAGGAAATAGATATCAAATAATATTTTAGTTTTGATTCACTATTTTAGCGGTAATGACTTACACATTAAAAATAGATATATGGTGTCACGGACTTTTTTTTAGAACTATTTAAGAGATACATTTTCACTCTACATTACATTCATGTAACTTTTATTGTTTTTGCAGTGCAGGCCAAAATGGCTCTCAGATGGGAGATTTTTTTCCTTCTTATGTGACACTTATTGTTATATATTGGCCAATTCACTCAATAACTACATAAATTATTATATATATGTAATTATCATATATGAGCTATATTACTGTTAAGTTTCATTAAAATCCATTTAGTATTTTTTAGGTGAAAGAGTAACAAAGATCGAAATTAAAAGGGTAAGTGGTTAATATACAACTTTAAAGCGTTGTAGATCCTAAACAATTATATAAAATGAAAAATGGTGTTAAAAGCCTAAATATGATTTTTGATTATCTAGACAGTGATACCCCACTCGACATATTTTGTCAACTTATTTTTGACGTGACAACGTCTTAAATTAGGTTGCGGCTGGGAGTCACTTATGAAAAAGTGTAACGCTCGGTAACGTTACGATGAGTTTAAGTTTACATGTACAATGTTTTAGTAAACAAAATATATTTCTATAGTTAAAATTTGTGCAATTCTTATTTTCATTCAATTCCTTGTTCCTATTGTGCAATTTAATTATATTCATATCAATAAATATTCTACCGAGAAAAAGACGTTGTCACGTAAAATCTTCGCCCGTAAAACCGACTTTACAGGCAACCATTTTTTTTTTACTTCATCACAATATGGCGCCTAATTTTGCCCATATTGAATTTTGATTACTATCATATCTTTAGTAGCACTCCCATGATTGAGACGAATCGATTGATGTATGAATCATCAAAATCGGTCCAGGCGTTTGGTCTCTAGTGTGCCACAAAGGAACAAACATACATATATAGACTGTTAAACACATAACCCTGTCTGCGCGTCGCGCTTCGCGCTCTTGCATTGCGCAGCCGGGTAAAAAGGGTTGGGCCTCACCCACTACCCTAGGGAACTCCGTAGGAGAGTTCCATTTCAGGTCTGATATTAACCTACCATAACACATTACTATAAACAAATAGCTACTAAAAATATCGTGTGCATTTCCCTTTTATGCCCATCATGTTGCGTAGCAGTATTTGAAAGTAAGACAGTGTTGAAACCCTTCAAAAGGTCAGATTCGATTGGATCTCGTGCGATATTTAATAAATAGGAAAAAGACTTCTTAATTAAACTTGCAGTTTAATGTTTGACATTTGTAATTTTGTTGATAGCATTCCAGATAAGTTAGGATTGTTTTATTTTTTTTTTGGAGTCATTCTTATCATACCGAGTGACAATGTTAATGTTTACATTACAGCAGTTGCGGTACCTAGAACAAGTCACGTTTACAGATATTGCAATCCACGAAGACGCGCCCCACTATTCCTCCTAACCGTTTATAGATGAAAGAACTGAATTTGAAGGTTTCAAAACATATATTTTACAATTTTAAAATGAACAGCCTAAAAATTATTTAAGAAAACAGAACCTGCTCCTCGAAACCACTTCGTGAAAATTTTAAATATATATGAAACTAGCTGACCCAGCGAACTTCGTACCGCCCTAAAAAAATAGGGGTTGTCCAGCGGACAAAATTGTGAATCTAAACCATTCTCAGATCCCCTTTAACACACACAAAAAATTTCATCAAAATCGGTCCAGTCGTTTCAGAGAAGTTCAGTGACATACATACTCACAGAAGAATTATATATATAAAGATATAGCTCTTTGCTTGTAGATTACAGAAAACCCTATAAGAAGTTTATATGTAGTAATAAAATTACTCCAATTCAATAGACGTCGTTTTTTGCGATAGTATAGAGTCTAATCTAATGTATGTGCTTTGGGCTAGTTCTTTTTTATATAAGTTCAATCCCAGCACCTGTGTGTTTTATTTTAATACAATTCGCAATTTTTCTTTACGCCGGATGTCGATAGTCTGCGTCGGAGGTCAGTCCTTGAACAGGTTTAACCATCTCAAATCGTGGATTCATCAAACTCGCATGATATTCTGTCAAAATTCACAGAACACTTATTAAATTGCAGATACTATCACCATATAAAAACCGGCCAAGTGCATGACGTGCCACGCGCAGTGTAGAGTTCCGTAGTAGTAAATGTGTGCCAGCTTCCGCCAATATTTGAGTGTTATCGGTACACACTAATTATTTATGATAATAATGAATAATAATATGATAATTATCTAATCATCTTTTTATCACTAATTATCCTTCAATCGCATCTTCGTGGATATCTGTAGTATAAATCGTTGTTTGGTTTGCGCTTAGATTGCTTGGGTATTTTATCTTAGTGCAGCTGATGCACCGCACAAGTCCTCCAGGGGCCACCAAGGTTTTATGGGTCGATCTCGATTGATATCAGGGAAAAATACCAAGAATAAGCTAACTTGAACATTGCTGTAGAAAATTAGAATATAATAAATTTTGTATTAAACAATATAAAAAAAAACCCGGCAAACTTGAAGATTTTAAAAGATTTAGTCTACTGAATATTTTTTTGAACATCGCATTAACTGATTAATAAGCTCCCGAGACTAAATATGGAGTTGGTATGTCTATTTTCTTTATATGCAATATATTTAATCTCAAATTACAGAACGATTCATTAATCTGAGCATTAAAAGTTACCATTAACAATATTTAAGGCTTTTTGTAACAGAAACGGTCTAAACTATGTAGACTTAAGGGAAAACGGTGGCGGTAAAAATGGATTTAGTCCGTTTTATTTGTTGAAACTCAAAGTTTTAGTCAATACACCCGAGAGCAGGAATATAAGTTTCAGAGTTCTGTTATTATCATTATAATTAAATTCTTGCGACCTTAGCCGTAATTGTTCTGATAAGTTTATTGAAAATATCTCAAATTCAGTAATATAAACTAAACATTTTTGAACCATTGACCTAGCCAATATAAATAATAAATGATGGATTTTATTTATAGTTCACTACTTAGCGCCTACCCGCAGCTTCGTTCACGTAAGCTTATGTTTTTTAAGAATCCCACAGGGACCAAATTTATTTAATTTTCTAACTTGAGTCTACGTTTTGTTTAAAGGCGGTTAGAGTCGCTGCCATGCCAACCCAAGCTGTAAACGGTGTAATCTATAAAGCTGTAATCTATCAAGATTCATGGCACCGATTCCAACCGCGTTATTTCAAAACGCAGCCTAAAGTTGAACCTGGACTTAAACTGATGCTGTCACTCATGTTTGCTAAAGAGAAGACAGAGACCACATTAGTTAGACCAAAACTAACTTTAGTCCACATTTTGGAATAAGGGGGCAAATGTTTGAAATTAGATATATGTAAAGAATTGGATTATTTCTTACTTTTTAGTGGCTTTGTTTTTTTGAAATCGGTTTCTATTTTTGGTAAAAATGGCTTTTATTTTTCACGTTTTTATACGCCGGGAATAACATCAACTTACTAAATAGATTTCTCGCCTGCAATCTCGCTTTCATATTTCGTAAAATAACCTAACACGATTGTATGTATGTATTTGGGAGTTCTGGTGTTTATCTCCGTAATTATTTATTAGATTTTCACCTCATTAATAGGGGGCCATTTCGCTAAGACACTCTTTCAAACGTAAAAAAAGAATCACTCACATCGGAGATATACGCAAACAATAATTAAAAAAAGACGAATTTTGAACATCCTCCTTTTTGAAGTCCTTTAAAAACACACAAACTTACACATTCATAATATTAGTAGGAGAATTTTGTTTATAGAGGTAAAGAGGTGAAGTGATTACATTAATTAACTTAATAAACCAAAGCGTATATAAATTACAGTATCATCAACAACGTATTTCAATTTAGTTCATCGACTATCCTGAAACAGTCATGACTTTGGCTATAATATTGGTTACTTTACTATCGCTGATCATACTTTTGTTATTGTATTGTTTATTAGGAAATAGACAGTACTGGAAACAGTTTAATGTTAAAGGGCCGGAGCCGAGCGCCCTGTTCGGTAACTACAAAGATGTAATTTTAAGACGTGTCACTTCTTTCGACTTTCACGAGAAGATTTACAACTCTCATCCCAATGAGAAAGTCGTTGGCTTATACCGTTTCAATACACCAGTGCTCCTTTTGAGAGACTTGGACATCGTCCAGCAAGTGTCCATACGTGATTTCGACAGTTTCGTCAACCGAGGAATAGAGTTCGGTGATAAGCTGAGTACAAATTTAGGCTCAAGCTGTGATAACACTTGGAGACTGCTCCGCACGCGTTTCTCCCCAATCTTCACTTCTGGCAAATTGAAGAATATGTTGCACCTGGTAGAGAGATGTGGCGACCAACTACTGGAGCACTTGGATGCTACGATTCCGTCATCAATTGAATGTGACGTCGTGAATATAACAAAGAGGTACGCGATCATGTCTATCAGCGCCTGCGTTTTCGGCATCGACAGGGACATGACGAAACCCGATGAGAAACTCGAAGAAGTTAACAAAATGATCTTCACGCAATACCAAGCCTTAGAGTTGTTCTACGTTTGCCCTGAATTATTGAAGAAGATGCATTTCAACGCTTTGCCGAAAAAAATATCTGAATACTTCATTCGTTTGGTCGACGAAGTTATCAACAAGCAACGCAACGGTGTGCCCTCTAATAGGAAAGACTTCATGGATTTATTGCTGGAGATGAAAAACATGACTGAATTAAAAGGAGGCAAAAAGAATGACGGCGATGAAATAACCGTGCTTCCTGTCACGGACGAAGTGATAGCTGCACAGGCTATGGTATTCCATGGAGCTGGTATGGAGAGCAGCGCAACCACGCTCGCATTTGCGCTTCACGAACTAGCGAAGAACCAGGATGTCCAGGAGAAATTGTTTCAAGAGATAAAGCAGCAAGTCTTTGAGAAGAACAACGGAGAACTGAGCTTGGAGACCTTGAAACAGTTGACGTATATGTCTCAAGTATTCGACGAGACACTCCGCATGTATCCAATTATTGATCTTCAAAGAAAGGTTTCTGCATCCTCTGTACAAATACCTGGTACAGATATTACATTGAAAAGGGATGATTACATTTTTGTTCCTATCCGGGGGATCCATTATGATGAAAAATATTATCCTGATCCTTACAAATTTGACCCTGAGAGGTTTTCACCGGAGAACGTTAAGTCCAGACATCCTTGCGCTTTCCTGCCGTTTGGTCTTGGTCCAAGACATTGCATCGGTAAGTTCTATTGATCTATACTTATTTGTCACACACTGTATTGTTATTGCGAAAACATATTGGGTAAAAGGGAGAACGATAACGTTTTAGAGCTACATGGGCTAGAGACTTAGATTAAAACAAAAAGGGAAGATACGGCACTCGCGGCTCAAAAGTGATCCGCTTAAATTGTGGTGCGTGACCACAATTCGCTTTAGTCGCAATTGGACATCCAAACACGATGCATTTAACAATACTGCGTATATTCTGTGTTATAAAGATAAAACATTGCCTTCGACGCTTTTATAAAGAACACAAATAGTTCAAAATCAAATAACAAATGCCACGGCAACACTTTTCATTCGTAAAAGTATAAAAAATAAACTCGAAAATCACGGTTTTCCGTGAATGTTGGTTCCTGATTCTCCATTTTTTATCAAGAAAAGGACAACAATACAACTCAGCCGTCTGTAGAGAGAGAAAAGAAAACGCACTCGGCTGCAAAGCAACCCGGACTCGCGCCATTTCGCTCGCGCTGCGTTGAAGCGTACAATTCTGTCTCGCTCGCTCGATTGAATGTTTATTCACAGAAGTGTGCGTCTGTGAGAGTTGTTTATGTAGTTGAGTCGGATCATATTTTATTTGATGCTAGTATGAGCGTACCGTAATTTCCATTTTTGTTTTTATCTAAGGCTAGAGTGCTTTTGTTTGCACGTTTCGAACATATTTCAGAAATGAAATGAACGTTCTTAACAGACACTCACCTTGGCATTGTTATTTGCAGGTGCGCGCTTTGCCACGGTTCAGAATCGCCTGTTTCTGGTGAAATTTTTGTCTCACTACAAAGTGGAGCCGCCTGCTGTTACGAAAAAGTTTACATACAACCCTATGAAAATCACGCTCGCTGCAACAGATGGAGTTCCCCTGAAGATCACTCGAAGAAATATTTCTTAATTTTTTCACTCCAGAAGAGATGCCTTCGAATATTGGTCGATATTGAAGAAACTGAGAGCTAAAGACCTTATTCTATTTCATAAAAAATATTACTTGTTATTAATTTATTAAATTATTACTATAACAGAAATTTATAATTTATGCCGCAATTACATTTGGTCGTTAGCTCGTATTCGGGTGTACGAAAGACATTACTCGAATTCGGGCGCCCGACCAACGATATTAAATACCCTAGATACAATAACACGAAAAAAATCGGGGCCGAAACGTGTCCAAAAGGTACAAAAAAAATTGTGTGTGTCAGCTCCGACGCACGACTGGAGTTTACTCCTTAAGTTCGATAGTCTAACCAGACGCGAAAAAGAGTTTATTTAACTTAAAAAAGATTGATACTGTATGAAAGGGTAAATTAACAAATTAATGAAAATAATATACATATATAAATATATATTTATTCATTTCATATACATTTATTATAACTAATCGACTAAATATTTTACATTAAACTTTTTACAATAGTCAATTTCAGATGTGCATAAATATATTATTTTAAATTATTGTACATCTTAGTGTTTTTATTTATTTTGTTACCTTAAGTCATGGTGGGCGATAACAGAGTCATGTTGTTAAGTTAAATATTTGTAAGGACAAATCTCAGTTTGTCCTTGGTGGGCGATTATGTATACGCCATTTGTGCATTTAAAATTTTAGTTCATATGTATCAAAATAGATGCGCTGTAGTTCGTTGCATCACGCTTGTAAATATGTTTGGAGCTACATATAGGCAAAACGTCACTTAACTAGCAAAGAAATCTATGGTCTAACAAAATACACTGTAGTTTCAATTTAATTCTTTTGCATCTAAGCTCTCGGATGTAAGAGTCATTTTGGCTCGAACAGGATGCGCACCAAAAACGTAACGAGGTCATTCATCGATAGATTTTACTCCTCAAATATTTCTCATACCGGGCCCCTTATATATGCAAATCGATTCTTAAGGAGTAAACTCCAAAAACAAACAGTTCGAAATGCAAGCTCGTAAAATTTAACGACTTATTGCTTTATGCGGAAGAATATAGATCTTATTCTTTTGAATCTACGCGCAATTCTGAATGCGCTATTAGCAATATAGCAGCTACGGACCGCGAGGAAAAGAGACGGCTATATGGCAACGTATAACTGACCATGTATTTAAATAACACAAATATTTTAAATTAAATCAGTTTTTAGTTAGTATTACAATAGAATAAATTTTCTAATGCGTTAAATCAACAGATATTGATTAAATACCTGTCGAAAAAACGACACTTTTCGTACTATAAGTATGTTTTCGCATTTTTTCACGGAGCTCTGTGTCATCTTGACTTTGTAACAGTCTGCGCATGACTGTGAACCAAGAAGTACTTGATTAGAGTTCAAGCACTTCTTGATTGGGATACATTTTGAGCCCTTGTGGTGTATCTAGGGTATTTAATATATTTACACCCGACGCAACATTTACACTGGAATACAGCCTGAAAGACGGTGTCGTGTAAACAAAAGGAAACCGAATACCGGCGTGCTCGACTCCGTTGATTTACACGTGGTGGTTTACCAGAATACCACTGGCACTCGTATTCGGGCTAGCGGCCAAATGTAATCGCACCATAACATAAACATTTTTGTAAATTTTCAAGAGCACACAGTGATATATATTTTCCAGCTAAAAATCTACCTTCAGCTCGCCGTAATTTATAAGTAGTAGCTCTTTAATAGGAGCTACTGGTGGGTAGGTGTAAAGTTTTATGGCTGGAAAATATATTAATCTGCCGGTTTGCATGATGTGAGGGTGGTCGTACTAAGGGGTAGAAAATAGGAAAAATATAGGTAATCATAATCATTTATTCAGTTTAGTCTGTTACAAGCACTCATAAATGTCTAGAAGCTACGCCTCGATTCGTAAATCTACGGCGGGAGACCTTGTACTGAGAAGAACCGGCAAGAAACTCAGCAAGGGCTGTTGTTTCTCCCTATTTTATTATTTACAGAGTCGTCTTGTTGAAGAATGACTTCAGAGATGATTCATGAAGTCACCATTCATTACATAATGTGAAATTATACATTAATTGTTCACCTGCATTTTGATTGCTGTGTCATACAGTATAAATACAAATAGTGTTATTTATATTAGATACTAGCTGTGCCACGCAGTGTCACCCGCGGTTTATTAGGGATATTTTCCCGCAGTAAAACGTAGCCTATGTATTTATCCAGGGTGTCAGCTAACTCCATACAAAATTTTATTAAAATCGCTCCAGCTGTTTAGACGTGAAAAAGTAACAAACATACACACTTACAACTTGCAAACTTTCGCCTTTTTAGTGTGATTTACATCTTACATATCAAGGTAGTTAGGGCAGACTCATCTCGCTTCGCTCAACCATATTTTGAGGCAACGTAACGACCCGCCTCACACGACACCACCGAAGAGACTTATGAGAGCATGACTACCCATAACCACCTATATTAACCATTAAATATTTACTTAGAATTATTTTATTATATCTGTAGGACACTGCAAACAATTACAAAAGCAAAAACAATGGAGAAATCGTGACGTTTTGTCATTCAAATGTTCTTAAATAGTCTGATATTCTTCCTTAAGTCCATCAGACATTGAGAAGGGATATTACGTTACAACCGTCTGCGCAAATGAACAATTGGTGGAATCTTTAAAAGATACGCTATTCCGGTCAAGTAGACGTGAGAACGTTATTGTAGTGTTAATTACCTCACAGAAGCTTATCGAAAAAGCTGACTCGATACATTTCGTGCCAAACACTCCAAGAAACATTAGAATGAGTCGCACCGACATTCTAATGTAAAAAAATAACAAAAAAAACTGAAGACTAAGCTGTATGGGCATTGCGTCCTTTGCCTTCTCTGGAAAGGGAGAATGTGAAAAAAATATCAATCTCATGTACGTGTTGTCAATATCATCGAATCAATAACAAAAAAATATTTATTTGCGATAAAAATTATTTTTCTGAATCATGGGACATAATATCTAGAAATAATGGAACTCAAAAACATCTGCCGCTGCTGCCTCGCTGAAGGCTGTTACAAAGATTTCATAACTAAGTACTTTTACGATGGAAAATGTGAAGTATATTCAAAAATGTTGCAGGAAACTTTTAATTTAACTGTAAGTTTGTTAATTTCGCACCTCCGGTGCGACACTGTCACTTATGCAAAAAAAACATTTATGCAGGAGAAGCGTTTAAAACTTTAACATCCTAAAACATACAATATTGAAAGTGTTTTTTTAATTTTTTTTAGATGAATAGCTAAGTAGTATAAGCTTTTCATCACGTAAAAATCTTTAAATATTGTATGTTTTGGGATGTTAAAGTTTTAAACGCTCATCCTGAAAAAAAAATTGTTTTTGCATAAAGGACAGTATTTTATTTTGCTACAATTCATACTTTGGAGTCTTAAATTTCGACGCAGAATATCTGAAGATTCCTGATAAGAAATTCATGTAGCTTTTATATTTTCAGTTAAAAAACTATGACAAAATAAAGAGTTTAATTTGTGATGATTGTTTGTCTAAATTAAGAGAAGCTGATCTATTTAAGAAGCAAGTACAGGCTTCTGAAGAGGCTTTACTGAAGATTGTGGACGAGCAACCACAGAAAAAAGGTTTAAAACTTTAATTAAAAATCAATATTAGGAATAATTGGGAAAAAACTATACCCGCTCCGCTGCATCAGATGGTTTATATTTTGTCTAGTGATCTTACCTTAATATAAACGTATAGGATCATAATAAGATAAAATAATTGCTAGGGCTCTACCCCATATAAAAATATTGATTTATATTGTTTATAAAATATCCTAAAATGGTGAAAATTTGTAAATAACATACCTACATATTATGAAATTATTATCCGTTTAAAGTATTTAGATCCTAAAAGTAGCATTATTTGAATAAATTTATTGCAATTTAAATTGTTAGGGAAAATAAAAAAAATTGCACAATTATTGGGTTACGCAGACACTTTAAAAAAATATATACTATATATATTATTTCCAGAAGATGAAACCTCATTTAAATGGGAGTGTGCTGAGGTTGATGACTATGAATTTGACGATAGACTCGACGATAGTACGGATGATAATTTTGTTTGGGACGTTAGTGATACTGCCGAGAAAGAAAAAGGTAAATTTGTTTTGTTCGACTAGACTCTAGTCTAGGGATTGCAATACCAGTAGGCCTAATCGCTAACTACTTTGACAGATGGAAGTGATAATCACTGAGCTATTTAGTGATCTACTACTGCTTTATTATAACGCCACTAAGATACTTATTCTGAAAAGCATCGATGTATATGCAATTTTTTTCTCTTTAGTTACACACTGTGAATGTCAGAAAAGTTAGCGAATAAGCCTACAAGTTGACTTTTTACCAAGTTGACTTAAGTCACCTATGATTTGTTGTAGAGTGATCTAGTTACTGCACCGACTGAAATTTTTGATAGTGGTTTTGCTTATGCACAATTTTTCTTTGAATGTAGAATCAGTGATATCAGAAGAGAAATTTATTCATTCTTTATAAATTCTCCTGTATGAGTATTCATCTTGTCAAACCTTCGTGGAGAGCCATTTTGTAACTAACAACGAAAACATTACAATTGTAATGCAAATCTGACACATCTCCGATCTCATGCCATCACTTCATTCGGCTATTTCTTTTTCCTTATAAAGCATGATAAGGACAGACTTGTAATAGCCAAGTGTAGTGCCACCAAGAATTAACGATAATTTGCCAAATATGTCGGCTTTAAAAAAATACCCCTGTTGCATAGCATAATTGTCGTTGAAGCAAGTAAGGGGCATACCTGTAATTTTTATAACATATGTCTATTTGACGAAATCGGGCCCAGGATACCGGGATCCCGCATATATTTTGCGGGACTAATCTCGCGTGATTACAGAGAAGCGTGATTCATACTCTTCAAATATCTAAATTTAATTGCCTTTTTTCATAAAAAAATACGACGGGTTGCACTCCTGGAGTTCCGGCAGAAGTGAAAACTTGAATATTAACATTGTGCATTTTTGATATTTTGGAATGGTGAGGGAATAATTTTGCACGAATTGCTTTAATTATCAGTATAAAAGTACTATCATATATGTGGAAAGAATACAATATTTATTTATTGCGCTATCGTACACAAATGTGACAATTTATAAATTACATTAAAAAAGTTTATCTCTCAGAAAAATCAACTTACATGAATCACGTTTAAGCGCACTTAGCGACATCTATTGTAAAGAAATCAACTTACATTAATCACTTTTAATATCGGCGATATCTATTGTAAAAAAAATGCATTTTCTTCGCAATATAGCTGCAACTGTTATTATTATAATACGGTAAAATAAAATATTACTATGTTTCGTCCAATATATTGAAAGTCAACAATCTTTCCAATTTTATTGTGTGTCATGATGCGATCAGCCCACGTGTTTAACCTGACGCGAGTTTAACATTTTTTACCCATACAAAAAAAAGTGTACAACGCCGCTAAAGAAGTTTTCACTTCAGAAACATAACGCCTAGGTCTTCGAAGTCAGGCTAAAACTTTCAAGTTTTCTTATAAGACTCTTATAAAGCCTTTGGGCCTTCGAACTTGATCACGGACGATCCCATGAACAAATTAAGAATACTATAGTTCATTTATGTCCCAATTAAGACCATGACAAGGAGGTACATTAGGTTTTTATTGCAATCGAATTCAAAAGTTTAAATCCACCCGCAACGTACCTGGATCCAACAGGATTAATACGGTTCAATCTAGGGTTGCCACCTATGTTTTTGTCCAAATAAAGTACACTGGATATTAAATGTAGAAAAAAAAAGTACATTGTGTCCAAAATGAAGTAATTTTTATTCCTCTTTATTAGTAAGCTTAAAAATATATTTTACGTTGCTACTAGAAGCTTTTAATAAATAATTTGTGGCTACTAAAAATTTGTAGTTCTTTTCCGCAATGGGAAAGGTCATATAACTTATCCATACAGCCACAAAAATGCTGCAGGAATTAGCTAAGGGCGACATATTCATACTGTCTGTCCGTTTTACGCAAAAATTCTTCTTATCAACCTCTTTTTGTATATTTTATGTAAAATGAATCCCTGAGTTATTAAATCACATTAAATAAAATATTTTCGCGTACTTTATTGTTGCCATAAAGTATAGAGTACAATTACCCGAAATAACGTACAATACTTTATAATAAAGTACGGGTACGCAACCCTTGTGCAATCCCACAAATACCTGAATTGATTGATCCTGGATCTTACAGGATTTAATTCCCTACTCTATTCAAGTGTTTTATATATATATATATATATATACTAGTGGCCCGCCCTCGTTTCGCTTCGGTGTAGAGCTGTAGTGTAGACTATAGTTTTTGTTGTCAGGCTTGTATTATACACAATGACATTCTTCTAATACCTAATTACAATAGGCACGTGCCGCCAAGCCCCCCGCCCGGTAGCGTCGGAACCGCTATGTCCCTTCATTTTAAATCTGTAATATCTTCGAAAATATTCACTTAAATCATACGGTGTAAAGGGCCATATAGATTTATATTAAATGAACAATGTATTCAAGGTATTTAATTGGTTAAGGATTAATGCTGTATTGGTTAAAATCGCTTCGAAAATTAGCCATTATTTGTCGTAAAAAGTAAATGACAAAAAAAAGTTATTGTGGGTTATCCATAAGAGATAGACATATACCATCACGGACTTTTCTGTAGACCTTTTCAATGTGTACAATACTTAGTACATTATTTTGATAAAACTCGTAGGGTTCAGCCTGCGTTTGCAAAGTAAGCGGAAAAAATGCAATTATTTTTTACGACATCACATTAGAAACCTCAAAAATAACAGTACTTCTCCACTATTTAATGGATGTTATTATACATATAAACCTTCCTCTTGAATCACTCTATCTATTAAAAAAAACCGCATCAAAATCCGTTGCGTAGTTTCAAAGATTTAAGCATACAAACGGACATAGGGACAGAGAAAGCGACTTTGTTTTATACTATGTAGTGATATATATATGTATTTAAATATATATATAGGTCCGACAAATGACTCTGCCCCACCTGATGTTAAGTGATGGTGAAGTCCAGACGTGAAGATAGCTGGTACAGCAGTTCTACCTGCCACACCAGCTATCCTCACCTTGCCGGCCTGCATGCTGCTTCTTCACGCCTCTTTTAAAGGATCCCAGGTTGCAAGTGTGGCATGGTTACTTATTTTTTAATAGTATTGTAAACATATTCTCTGTTGCAGGCCAAATATATGTCATTAAACTAGAACCTAAAAAGGAAAACGAAAAAAATTGTGGCGGCAAACTCAAGATTGAGAAAAATCCTGCTAAACCGACGGCTGTTCGTAAAGCCAGAGATAAAATGGAGATCAGGAAAGTTACAAAAAGGAAAAAGCAAAGAACTGCAGTAAATGAACGAATAAGTAAAGGTAATATTTTATCTATTGTATGTTTTATAATGTTGCTAGCTAATAGTTTCAAAGGTCCTCACAATCAGACAGATGATGATGCTTAGTGAAAAAAAGACTGCCCATTTATACCCATTTCTCTTTACATACCCGGCTTCGTTCGGGAGTTGATATGAGATCACGTGGTGGTTGAAATAAAAAAATAAAAACTGACGTAAAAAGTGAAAAAAAATATTGAAATTCTTATTATTTCCACTACTTGTTTATTAACAAATTTTTTTCATTTTGGCTCTAGGATATTCGAGAAAGTTTGAGAATATTATCTTTCTCACACCTTCTCGAAGTTCAAATACTCGACAACAGATGGCGCCACTACACTAAATTTCAAGTTGAAGGGTTGGAAAAGCCCTTATATCTTTAAAAACACGCCCTTTAAGTTAAAACGGGAACTTTCTTGTTCGAGGAGGGATAAAGGGCTATCACACTATATAAGTCCCTTTATCTTGCCGGGACTCCTTTTTAAGTTTTATCGGCACGCACAGTTTATTAACTTAGTTTTATAATGATGTGTTTTTTTTTCTTATTATTGCTTATTTATTATATTGAATTATTAAATACGAAGACTTGATAAGTATATACATCACAGATGTAATTAAAGCCTCGATGACACGGGGCGAGTTTACAAGCTACAAGCCAGCGAGTTCGCTAGCAGTTTGTAACTCGCCTCGCTAGAGGAGCTCGATGGCGCAAGTGGTTAGCGCATTCGGCTGCGATCGTTAAAGTTAAGCAACTTTCGCAGTGGTCGGTCACTGGATGGGTGACCAAAAAAAAAAAAATTACTAACTTGAGCTCCTCCGTGCAGGCACGTTAAGCCGTTGGTCCCGGCTGCATCTGCAGTCGTTAGCACCCACCAATCCGCACTGGGCCCGCGTGGTGGGTCATGGCCCAATCTCCCTATTCCATCCATAGGGAAGGCCTGTGCCCCAGCAGTGGGGACATTAATAGGCTGATGATGATGATGATGATGATGATTGTAACTCGCCCTGTGTCATCGGCTTTTTTAACATCTGCTACTCGATGATACCGGACGAGTTGACAAGCTACTAGCGAACTCGCTGGCTTGTAGTTTTTAAACTCGCTCCTTGTCATCGAGGCTTAAAATATATAAAACACAATTAAGAATAAAATATAGAATGACATGATTGCTGTGTTAACAAGTTACCTAAATAGCAAGATAGTTGTATAACATTGCCACTTAAGCTTCTCTCTAATTACATTGCAGAGAAACAACGCTTACACGTCCGCGATATAGCACCAGTATCGGAGACCCAGATCGCATCCCGGGAGAACTCCCTAAATCTTGTTTTAAACTCGAACATGTGCCTATTCAAATCGCTCAAAACTAAATTCGGTTGCTTCCAATGCAAAGAGAGTTTCATGACCATGCCAGAATTAAGAGAACATTCCAAAACGCATTCCGACGTCAGAAACCTTAAAATCAGGTTCAACCTTCTCAAAGGCTTGTCTTACAAAAGCGTCGATGTTTCAGGATTGACATGCAACTTGTGTTCTTCAAATTGTGATGGCTTGGAAGGACTCAGATCACATTTGATAGACACACACAGTATTAAGTTTAAAGAGGGGGGGCATCACTTTTTGATTCCATTCAATTTGGAGAGCGATTTCAAATGCGTCCTGTGTTCAGATAAATTCAATACTTTCTCGCGTTTAGCTATCCATATGAACACGCATTACGCACACAACGTTTGCGAAATCTGTGGGGTTTCCTACATCAACAGATTGAGTCTCAGAATGCATGTTAGTTCCGTTCACAAGGAGAAGAAGTGTTCGCAATGTTCCGCAACATTTTCGACTCACTACATGAAAGTGAAACACATGAAGAAGGCTCATAATGTAGGCTCTTACAAGCGATACTGCTTGTTGTGCGACAAAACTTTTAGGTACACATATTTGTTGATGGAACACAAGATCAAAGAGCACGGCGCCAAAAGACAGATCAGCAACTGTCCAGATTGCGGGAAAACCTTTTTGTCACCGCAAAATATGAAGGTGCACATAAGATCAGTTCATATAAAGGAGAGGAATTATCCTTGCACTGTTTGCGGGATGAGGTTCTTCACAAAGTGCGATCAAAAACGACATGAGATGACGCACGATGATGTGAAATCGTTCTCTTGCAGTTACTGCGATGGGAAGTTCAAGACTAAAGATTCTTGGCGAAGACATTTAAAGAGACAACACGAACACATGTATGAAGTGCAATAAATGTTATTCTGGAGTTTAGGTTGAGTTTCATTTGAATGACCTCGTTATTATGTATTTATATCATCGTCATCAGCTTTATAATCAAGGAGGAGCACGAGATAATAAGATTTTGATCGCCCGTCTAATTGTATTTATAATGTATGACACAGCAATCAAAATGCAGGTCAATAATTAATGTATATCTCCCATTATGTAATGAAAGGTGACTATATGAATCATCTCTGAAGTCATTTTTCAACTTGACGACTCTGTAAATAATAAAACAGGGAGAGAAAAAACAGCCCTTGCTGAGTTTCTTGCCGGTTCTTCTCAGTACAAGGTCTCCCGCCGTAGATTTACGAACCGATGGCGTAGCTTCTAAACATTCATGAGTGCTTGTAACAGCCTTAACTAAATAAATGATTTTGATTATGATTGATTTATTATCCAATATAAAAATTCGGCTATTGCCGCTGGTCGCACCAACGAGGGGACCCCGGCGATATCTTCTTATCCTCATACCACGTATTTTATAGAAATGGTGGTGTCTAATATTCAGATGTTCTGGGTTCGAATCCAGGCGGGGCAAATGTTTGTTTGATGAATAAGAGCATTTTTTAAATTTAATTATTTATCAAATTAAAATGAATACATTATACCTAAGCTTAAGTGTATAATTGTGCCTCATAAACGTATTGGTTTTCCCGGACATTGCCGTTCGCCATCGAGACCCGCAGGTACGACTACTAAATCAACAATTTAAATTAAACCATTCAGTCATCAAACATTAATCTGAAAGGTAATGTTATTGATATTTTTTTTATATATACCGCACCGCTTTTAATAAAAAGCTAGGTAGCTGTCGGCCAAACACCGCGCCGAGAATAATTTGACTTACCTAATGACTCAATGAGGGCTACCGTTTTCTGCCTCACCAGATGGCGCCACTGTTGAGTGAGGTCCTAAATTGTAACTTTTAAAGTTTATTAATACGCACATGAAATCAAAGGTTACATTTAGATCGTATTTTAACACAAAAGAACCATATCCTAAACATAATAGGCCATGCCACAGTGACGCGCAGTTCCGTTTTATTCGGAAAAAATGGGAACATAATCATTTTTCTAAGCTCAAATTTTTAATAACTGACATTCATTGCCACATAACTCCTATTTGCCATAATTAAGCCGAATTGTTACCAATTATTCACAACATTATTTTAATTAGAAATAAACCCGCGTAGTCAACCAACAAGCAATAACATTTGACATTTCGGAGACCTCACGCTACACTAGCGCCTCTAGCGGCGGATTCATACGCGATAGCCCTCATTACACCTGGAGCTCTATTTTTTTTGAATTACTCGCCTGACATAGTATCGTAGAATGCGACATAAGTCACCTTCGACTTTCAAGTCGCATGATACTGATTTTTCGTATTTTTGAATCGTTTATCTACGGTTAGCAGTTTAGTACAACATTTTTATTTTTATTAGCACGGAAAAAAAGACGTTTAAAAAGATAATAAGCAGTCATTGCCGCTGTGAAAAATAAACGTATAATTCTCAATAAATGGTTGTTTAATATTTTGCCTTTTTTTGCAAAAAAAGATCAAAACGTCGCAACAAATCGTCATCTTATCTGTATTTTAAAAAGATTGGGAAATAATCTTGGATTTAACTGACATTTTGAAAATTATTCTACCTTTCGCCTCCATCTTTCGCCAACGCACGAGTGGTCGAGACCGCTAATATGAAGTATCTGTCATCACGAAACATAAGGTAATATAACGCAAGATGAGCAAACCGTTTCAATTCAAGCATCAACGTTACATGCGAAGTTGAATTCGTACAGCCGTACACAGAATCAAATTGACATCAACAGTACCCTCAGTACGAGTTTTACAATAGGGATGATGACTAATTTTTTTTTCTTCGTTTATCGGGTAGATTATCAAAAAGTATTGGACACGTATTTTTTCTTTTTTCACATAATATAAGCATTGCAGAGATATATTGATTTGAAAAGTCGCATGACGTCACGTTTGAGTACACTTATAAGTGAAAATTCACTCAAAAGTGACGTCACGAGCCCCTACTTCCAAACTTTGACGCGCTATAACTTTGTCATTTTTTGGTTGATTGCCCAAAGAAAAACTACGTGTCCATTATTTTTTGATCATCTAACTGACGGACTAAATAGAATTACGTTTACTGTATCCCGTCATCACCCCTATTACTACACTATCGGCGGAGCTATAGATAGAATTACGAAAACTATGATAGTTTTCGTGAGCTCGCACTCGTACTAAGGGTTGGGTCGTACTCGTACTGATTTTATTGTTTTCGTTTCAATACATATAAACAGTGTTTAGATTCTATTCTATCATTAAATCATTTGTGTGTTCTTAAATTTTAAGTATATGTGGTTATTTTTCACCAAAATGGACATAGAAACATATTTACAATTACGAAAACTATTATAGTTTCCGTGAGCTCAAACTCGTACTAAGGGTACAGACTAGAAATACATTATATATCTAATACAAACTGTCTTAAAACTGATAAGGAATCTGTTAAAGGTTTTTCATCTATCTATACTTATAATAAATCTGTAGAGATGTCAATTCTGTACATGAAATATATTTTTAAAACAACTATCAGGGGGTGATAAGTGATCGATACTGATGCCAAAAATGCAATCAGTAAATTTTTTGTCTGTCTGTCGGTATAGAAACACCAAACTTATACATGAAATAAGCCATCGCGCCGTCGCACGTGAATACTGAATCATGCTATAAGGATTATTTTTGTGTAACGGTTGCCGCGCTCGACACGGGTCGCGGCGGCGGTAGGGTATCAAAATACGGGAGGTCCGAGAGCGAGCTGTCTAAATCTGTTTTCTGCGTCCCCCCCCCCCCCCCCCTGGGGGACGATCGCTTCCGATGAAGCCTTAGAGGCCTTCCCGGCCAGAGGCAGCCCCTACGGGTGTTTTTTAGTCAGTACGAGTCTGACATAACCTTGCAGCCGGCTGTAGGGTATCCATGAGGATTTCTCACCTGCTCCCCAAAACAAAAAAAATAAAAAAAGAGAGCGAGCGAGCTTCAATATTTGGCTGTTGATGCGTTCAGAGCGTTCGACCGTATTGACAGACAATAATTGAGAAATATTGAGTAATCGTGCTTATCAGCGCGACTTTTAGTCTTTAAATAGGTTATTTAAATTTCTTTTTTTGTTATTTTGTAAAATAGGTATTAGTTGTTTTGGTAGTGTTTAAATATTCGTTGAAATTAAAAATTATTAAGCGTAGGTACTTTTATTAATAAAGTAGTTATAAGTATTTATTTTTAAGTGAAGTAGGTATAGGTAGATAGTATTGCACAGGCGTTTCAGCTTTATTTTCATTTCTTTTTTTTTGTGAGTTGTAAATATTTCTGGTTATAATTCTATAAGAATATTTTAGTTTAAATAGTCACATAGATTTTAAGTGTAAGGTAGCTAAAGTTAGGACCACGTATTAGTTGTTTTGGTAGTGTTTAAATATTCGTTCAAAGTGTAATTTAATCATATGGGATGAATGTACGATGGCCCATCGAAAAGGAGTAGAAGCGGTAGACAGAACTTTAAGGGATATAAGACAAAATGATCGACCAATGGGCGGTATCACAGTTTTATTTTGTGGTGATTTCCGACAAACCTTACCGGTAATATCACGGGGAACCCGAGCTGATGAGGTTAGGGCTTGCCTGAAAAGCTCTTATTTGTGGCGTGATATACAATCGGTGCATTTGACTATAAACATGCGAGTGAGAACTGTAGATAACCCGGATGATCGTGAATTTTCTGATATATTATTAAAGAAAATACTTTCACCAAAGATACCTATCCACTGCTACACCAAGGAAAACTTATTCTGACGCCTGAGTTGTGTTGTATAGTGCAATCCCAACAACATATTACATCGTCAGTTTACGGTGACGTAACAAATATATTAAATAAGGATAATTCTTGGCTATGCGAAAGGTCCATTTTAACTCCTCGCAATGACCAGGCATCTGAGATTAATACTGTCGAATATCCAGGGGGAAAGCAAAGTTTATAGTTCAATAAATAGAATGGCCGATGAACAAGAAGCCACTAACTACCCGATAGAATTTTTAAATTCTTTAAATATGCCCGGACTTCCTTCTCATGAAATTTGTTTAAAAATTGGCATTCCGATTATTCTGCTCCGAAATTTAAGACCACCACAAATTTGCAATGGAACTCGGCTTAAAGTAACCCAGTTGCAACAAAATGTAATCGAGGCTCAAATTTTAACAGGTTGCGGTGCAGGAGAAACCATCTTTATTCCCAGAATTCCCATAATACCAAATAATTTTCCATTCCAATTTAAAAGAACGCAATTCCCAGTATCGGTGTGTTGTGCAATGACAATAAATAAGGCTCAAGGGCAGACTATTCGTGTTGCTGGAGTAGATCTCGGTGTCAGTTGCTTTTCACATGGTCAGTTATGTCGCTCTTTCCCGGGTTAGCAGTCCTAGAAATTTTTATGTTCACGTGCCGGATGGGTCAACTTTCAACGTAGTTTACCCGGAAGCTTTGCGCTGAAGTATTTTCATTCTATATGTACCTAAGCCTCATGTGAAAGCGATCTAAACAATATTACCAATACATTAACATAATAACATACAAGGAGTTACATGCTGATGGTCTCGGGGCACAGTGATAATAATAATATTCTGCGGTTCCTTATTGCGATATTTTTAACAGTATTGTGGATTGACATATTATATTTCCCTACTAATACGAAATCTGTCTGTCACATCAAAACCACGGAACCCTGAGGAAGGACATATGCTACTTTTTTACGAAAAACGACGAAAACGCGGACGAAGTCGCGGGCAAAAGCTAGTGATTTAATAAAGCTTTGATACACATTTATAAAATAAAAGCATTTTGGTGAACAACTCGATGGTCGAGTCTACTTAAGGTATGCGCAAACGCCTGTGGATTTTATTAC